AAACAGCATAAGCATCCTGGCCATCTTGTTTCTTTAGAGCCTCTCTTGCTGCATACTAAAGCAGGAATAAGAATAATCCTTGCTTCCCCCTGCATCAAGTTTTTGGTTTACCAATATCACTTTTCAAGATCTCCCAAATCACTGAAGTTTCACCCCCTGATGCTCTCTGCACCTTCTCCATCTCCTCCTTTTCTTTCCTTTCATTATGATAAAAGCCAGCAAACCCCCATGCTACACTTCATTCATCTAAGCAATGGGACAAAGTTGCCACTGGTACCTACCTGGTGGCATGGAGAAGGTGCCCAAGTGTGGGTGAGTCGCAAGTTCACAAACATGGGTGAGGATGAGAAAGTATTAGTGTGGTTATTTGGTCACTGGGCAGAGAATGTGCATTCTCTTTCTGAGCAGAGGGGCAGCTTCTCACTAGATGGGCTCCAAACTCAAGCTAGATCATGGTCTGAGCTGAGTAAGGATTAGGTGTTTGTTGTCTTAGGCAGAGACAGAGAAAGGGAAAGGAAAATGGAAAGAGAAAGAGAGAAAGAGAGAAAGAGAGGGAGAAAGAGAAAGAGAAAGAGAGAGAGAGAGAGAGAGAGAGAGAGAGAGAGAGAGAGAGAGAGAGAGAGAGAGGGAGAGGGAGAGGGAGAGGGAGAGGGAGAGGGAGAGGGAGAGGGAGAGGGAGAGGGAGAGGGAGAGGGAGAGGGAGAGGGAGAGGGAGAGGGAGAGGGAGAGGGAGAGGGAGAGGGAGAGGAAGAGGAAGAGGAAGAGAAAGAGGCTTTAGAAGGATCATATTCTAGAAGACAAGCTACCCATTACCTGAGGGGGAAAGGGGAAAAAAACAAGTGGCATTAAAATATCAGCATTATCTAGGAAAGTCCAATTTTTCTTCCTATTTCAGGAGTATCAATGCACCTTTGCAGGATAATGAAAAGGATGTAAATTGAGTAAAAATATCACCATGCAAGGCTAAATAGTTTATTTGGGTCCTCTCTGGGTTAAACAATGACTGGGTTACCAAAAAAAATCAAAGAAGAAATAAAAAGCATCATGGCAACAAATGACAATGAAAACACAATCCAAAATCTATGGGACACAGTGAAAGCAGTCTTGAGAGGGAAATTCATAGCTCTACATGCCTACCTCAAAAAGCAAGAAAAAATGTTAAATTATTTAACCCTACAACTCAAAGAGTTAGAAAGAGAGCAAGAAAAGCCCAGTATAAGCAGAAGGAAGGACATAATAAAGATCAGATTGGTAATAAGTAACATAGAGAAAAAAAAATACAAAAGATCAACAAAGAGCTGGTTCTTTGAAAGGATAAATAAGATTGATGAACTTCTAGCCCAGCTCACCAAGAAGCAAAGAGAGAGGACCCAAATAAACAAAATCAGAAGTGAAAGAGGTGAAGTAACAACTGAACCCCCAGAAACACAAAAGATTATGAAAAAATACTATGAACAACTCTATTCCAACAAAATGAACAAATTAGACAAAATGGACATATTCTTAGAAAAATAAAAGCTCTCAAAACTCAATCAAGAATAAAAAAATATAAAAAACCTGAATATTGGGGGGATGAGGACAATTATGTGATACCATAATCAATAAAAAATGAAGAAGAAATAGGCTGATAACTACCAAAGAAATTGAAGCAGCGATAAAAAATCTTTCAGCAACAAAAGCTCTGGTCCAGATGGCTTTACAGGGAAGTTCTACCAAGCATTCAAAGAGTTAAAACCTAACTTCCTCAGACTATTTCAAAAAAATTCAAGAGGAAGGCACACTCCCAAGCTCTTTCTATGAAGCCAGCATTATCCTAATTCCAAAACCAGATAAAGACACCACAAAAAAAGAGAACTACAGGCCAATATCCTTGATGAACATAGATGCTAAAATCCTCAACAAAATTCTAGCAAATTGGATTTAGAATTACATTAAAAAGATCATACACCATGACCAAATGAGATTTATTCCAGGGATGCAAGGATGGTACAATATCCGCAAATCAATAAATGTAATACATCACATAAACAAATGAAGAGACAAAAATCACATAATTAGAATTGATGTAGAAAAAGTATTTGACAAAATTCAACATCCTTACTTAATAAAAACTCTCAGCAAAGTGGGAATAAAGGGATCATACCTCAACATAATTAAAGCCTTATATAACAAACCTACAGCCAACATCATACTCCATGGGCAAAAACTAAACTCATTTCTCCTAAGAACAGGAATAAGACAGGGATGCCCACTTTCACCACTCCTGTTCGATATAGTACTGAAAGCGCTAGCCATAGTGATCAGACAAGAAGAAGAAATAAAAAGCATCAAAATTGGGAAAGAAGAAGTAAAACTGTCCTTATTTGCAGATGACATGATACTATACATAGAAAACCCCAAAGACTCCATCAAAAAACTACTAGACCTATTAAATAAATTTGGGAATATAGCAGGATACAAAATTAACACCCAGAAATTTATCACCTTTTTATATACCAATAATGAATTCACAGAAAGAGAAACAATAACAATGAAATCCCATTTATCATTACACCCCCAAAAAATTAAGATACCTAGGAATAAACTTATCTAAGGAGGTAAAAGACCTGTACTCGGAAAACTACAGGACATTGAAAAAAAGAGAGAGGAAGACATAAACAAATGGAAAAATATTCCATGTTCATGGATTGGTGAATCAACCTCATTAAAATGACCATACTACCCAAAGTAATCTACAGCTTCAATGCAATCCCCATTAAAATACCAACAGCATATTTCAAAGATGTAGAACAACTCTCCAAAAATTCATTTGAAATAAAAAAAAAAAAGACCCTGAATAGCCACAGCAATCCTGAGACAGAAGAACAAAGTTGGATGGATCATAATACCAGATATCAAGCTATATTACCAAGCCACAGTTCTCAAAACTGCCTGGTACTGGCATAAGAACAGACATATAGACCAATGGAACAGAACACAGAAACCAGAAATTGACCCAAGCCATTATGCTCAATTAATATTTGACAAAAGAGGCAAGAGCATACAATGGAGTCAAGACAGTCTCTTCAATAAATGATGCTGGGAAATTTGGTCAGATACATGTAAAAAAAATGAAACTAGATCACCAACTTATAGCATACACAAAAACAAACTCAAAATGGCTGAAGGACTTAAATATAAGATAGGAAACCATAAAAATCCTACAAGACTCCATTGGCAGCAAAATAGCAGACATATGTCATAGCAATATTTTACCAACCCAGCTCCTAGGGCAATGAAGAGTAAGTAGAAAATAAACAAATGGAACTATATCAAAATAAAAAGCTTTTGCACAGTAAAAGGAACCATCAACAGACAACAAGAAAGCTCACTGCATGGGAGAACACATTTTCCAATGCTATTTCAGATAAGGGTCTAATCTCCAAAATTTTTAGAGAACTCATACAACTTAAATAAAGGAAGATAAACAATCCAATCAAAAAATGAGCAAAGGACCTAAATAGACATTTTTCAAAAGAGGACATAAAGAGGTGGAGAGACATATGAAAACATGCTCAAAGTCACTAATCTGAGAGATGCAAATCAAAACAACAATCAGATACTATCTCACACCTATCAGAAAGGCTATCATCAACAAATCAATAAACAAGTGCTGGATAGGATGTAGAGAAAAAGGAATCCTGGTGCATTGCTGGTGAGAATGCAGACTGGTGCAGCCACTGTAGAAGACAGTATGGAGTTTCCTCAAAAAGTTAAAAATGAAACTCCCATTTGACCCAGTAATATCATTTCTAGGACTGTATTCCAAGAAATCAGAAACACTAATCAGAAAGGATATAGGCACCCCTAAGTTAATAGCAGCACAGTTTACAATAATTAAGATTTGGAAACAACCTAAGTGCCCATCAGCAGATGAGAAGGTTAAAAAACTGTGGTACATCTACACAATGGAATACTATGCCACTATAAAAAAGAAGGAACTTTTACCATCTGCAACAGCATGAATGAACTGGAGATCATTATGCTAAGTGAAATAAGCCAGTGGAAAAAGATAAATATCACATGATCTCAGTCATATGTGGAATATATTAATCAATACAATTTGATGAATAAGAATAGATCCAGAGACAAATGGCAGGGGAGGGGGTGGTTAGAGAGCAGCCAAATGATTTGTATGCATGCATATTAGCATAACCAATGGACACAAGACACTGGGGCAGTGGGGTCGTGCACAGGGTGGGAATGGCTGGTGGGGTAGTAGGGAGAGCGGTCAATCAGGGAAAAAAGGAGACATATGTAAAACTTTAGACAATCAATCAATCAACAAATAAAAATATCACCATGCAATCTTGTGTTGAAATGTATGCATGGATATATGGCCTTCCTCCAGGCTCTTCTGCCCTATCTCCCCTGAGCTTTAAGCTGGATTTGACCTTCTATAGATCGGCACTGCCAATGTCTAGATCTTTGCAGTCTGTTCTTTTTGTAGTTTAGATTCAATATTTGAAAATGCAATGCCAACTCTTCTCAACTATTCTCATCCCTGGGGTTAAAAGAGAAGATCTCATGAGGAATGCCTCTGAGCTGAGCTGACCTGAGAACACGGGTAAGGACTTGTGCTCTTTGCTTCAGATTACGGTCAATAGGATGCCAGGATCCATTTAGCACAAACAACCTAAGAAACCTCTAAAGAAAATGTGGTAAGGAGGGCAGGTAATATCTACTGTCATGAGAGAATTGCTGAGAATTAGAAAGTAGAAAAGAGCGAAGGTTATTCTTGAATATTGTTTTCATCAATAGTTCTTGGAAAATTCGAAGTGAATATTGTTAACACCCTGTTTCTACAAAGACACGAGGAGGTTCTGAAGCCATAGTTCTATATATATTGACATGAATTTCATATTTCCCCCCCAAATAAAATAAGGTATAAGTCCTTTATTCGCATGCTGACCAAGAAACACCTCCACACCTCCCCCAAGGAGAAGAAATGCTGGACTTACGTTGGTGACATACTCGATGTCCTTCCAAAGGATGCACTCTCTGGGGAAATCAGCCAAGTCTAAGAAGTGGTCTACCACCACCTGGCCGATCAAGTCATGGCGGGAGAACCTGTCAAAGTCATACACAGAGAAGTGCAGCTTCCGGGCTTCAAGGTCGTTGTAGGGAACAGGAAACAGAAATACTTCGTCAAACACGGGGTTCAGGGTCTTCCTGTGAACTTTCGTCTGGTGTTTTGTCTTCCGATCCGGGAGCAAGTAGATCTTGACATAAGGATCTGAGGTCCCAGAAAAGTCCTTGGCGGGCAAATTGACGGCCTTGTGAATCTTCACGATGAGCTGCTCTAGGTCACAGTCATATTTTAAAATAAAGTTCAGTTTCCCACAGGCTTTGCTGTTACTCCTTCTCCCGTCATCGTTGTCCAGTGACCTCTGCTTGTACAACTCCGGTTTAATGCGGCCAATCCCGGCCAGCTGTTCCTGTTTTTGCAGCTGCTGGATGTTGAAGTCCGGGTTCGACAGGTTGAGTTGTCCTCGGATTGAATTATGCCTTCAGTGAGGAGCAAGAGAGGACAAAGTTACAACCTCGTTAGCTACAGGTCTTTCAGAAACATGTGCCTGGAATGTAGGTAGACTGTTATGCACTGTTAGAAGATTAGGTCTGTGGGCCTTTTTTTCTTTCTTTTTTTTTTTTTTTTCTTCCTAATTTCAATATGCTCATCAATGTGAGTAAGCTGCTCCCCAAGGCTTGAAACCCAAAATTGAGGGCTGGTGTCAGGAAATGAAATGATTACCTGTGACCGTGGAGCCTTAAAGGTTTCATGCACCTTCTCAATTAATAAGCCATTAAGAAAGCTTCTCTGCCTGGTGGGATGTAATGATTTGTTCACGTTGGTTTAAAAATAAAATTATTCACTTTTAAATACAGTGTCATCCTGAAACTGAAATGACTGTCTGTGTATCTTCTTAAGAAGGATGAATCTGTCTCTAAATTGCCTACCCTTTCCTCTCACTGGCTTACCGCTTTCTAACTGCTTCACATCAGATAGTTTCCCCACAAGAACCAAGTTTTGCTGGTGTGAGGGTGGATGTATGGGACAGGACATGTCTGCTCGCAGTGGGCTGCATCGGCTCTGACAGCTCTGAGTGTCTGCAACGCCACGTGGGTACCTGCTGAGCAGCAGGAAGAGTTGATTTCTGTGATAAACACTATGGGCAGCCAAGGGAGGGTAAGCTGCTATAAATGTATACAAGGATTCAGCCAGGGAAAGTCAGGTACCGACATTTGCATATCAAATATTTGCTAACAGAAATGACTCTTCTCCCTATACTATAGTAAGCTTATTGGTTGGGCTAGAAGCTTCCCAGAAATTCTCTTGGAAACGTGCATTATCCTGTGGGTCTCCATAAGTGGAAAGGAGCAGTCATTACATATAAGGTTTTTCTTAGGGATTTTTCTGTTTGTTTTTAGCTCAGAGTTCAGAGTCATAAGACTGTATTTTCTGTAGTCTCTCCATAATCTTAATACCCTCTCGCCACCAGTTCAACAGCAACAGCTGGCTGTCTCAGATGAACTAGTAAATATGTAGTTGGAGAGGCAGAATAAACATCTGAGTGTATCTTCTTTTCCTTTCTGAAGGCTACTTTATAAAATAAAGATGTAAAAGTGGGATAATAGCCCCCGAAACATGTTTAAAATTATTCTCTCTTGTCATTCAGATGTTGCTATGCCGAACATCCCTCTTTGCCCTAAAATACACTCCTAGTCACTGAGCTGGTATAATAAGAGCACAATCACAGAGCTGCCATTTGCACCTGCCACAGCCAATACAGTCCGCCACAAGCAGACATGCACCCCAGGCACAGACATTGCCACGTGAGCAAAAACTGTGTGGTCTGAAAGTTCCTGCTGTGAGATTTTAATTTCTTACAGAGAAACCCACAATCCCACATTTCCTTCGTATCTCTCATTTTTCAGGGGTAGGGAGAGAGACAGAGGATGCTGTTAAGCTCCTAAATTGCCTCTCTGTGCAAGTACAGCCAAGCCACTCCCGTGTGGAGACGCTAACCTCTGGAGTGCTAGAACAGAGCTTTCATCTTGCTCTGCTGGGATCTCTGGGCAGAAATGACTGGCAGGGAGCAGCGAGCACCCAGCCTATGTAGAGGCCTCAAGGGGCTGGTACCAGCTATTGCTTTTTCCCTCCAGGCTAGCTTCACACAAGAGCCACACTGGGGTCTGGAGTCAGTTCTCATCTATGATTGGCATTCAGGGAACTCTAAGAGACTCAGTTTAAATACTAAAAGTGCTCCATTTAGACCCACATCTATCGATAGATATAATAGATACGCCTTCTCTGCACCAGCGTCTGCGATGGAACGCCGGTCCTGTGTCCACGCCAGCCCCAGACTCTGCTGTCACTTCTTCCCCATGATGCTCTGAGCAGCCTCTCTGTGCATCACAACTTACCTTCAATATTTTGGAAAGACTGGCTTCAGATTTATCACAGGAACATTTTGTCTTAAACCCTTATCTGCAGGACGAAGCCAGCCATGTACATTGAATTTTAATTTAAAATTACATGAATTTGGCTGCTTAGCAATGGAACATACTCTGTTTTCCTTGTGCATTTTCTTAAGACATGAAATCTGAAGAGAAGTAAGTCCTACATGTTCTGTTGTTCCCAGGCCGGGGGTAGAGGGAGTGCACTGGGGAGGGCATTAGGAAGAGATTTGTATTTCAAAGACCAAACCCCTCCCCCCCCCCCCAGAAAGCAATTAGGATGCCTCCAGTCCAAACTCCAACCCAGCTGAAGATTCCTTTTAAAAAATTGCGCACAGGTATGAATACTGTTATCCTCCCAAATGTTTTACAAGTTTCATTCTCCACGGTCCCTCTCTGCCCCCCTCAGAATCACACTTACTCTGGGGAAAACAGTGGGACCCACTGTAAGGCAGTGGCTTAAAGCAGAGAGCAGGGACTGTAACAGGCCAGGACAGTTCCCAGTCCCTGGGGCTCTCTTTCAGTCGCTTTCAATTTCCTTCAGGAGAGAGTCAGCGATTCCCAGAGTTGGAGGCATGGGCTAGAGATGCTCAGGGCAGCCAGAGAACCAAGGTAACTCATCACCTCCCTGCGAACTCTCTGCAGTTCTCTGCACTGAGAAATGAGAAAGTGGGGCAGGGAGCCTGCCCCAGGCACACGGAGGAGAAGAGAGGGAGAGGAAATGGAAAATCAATATTCCATGGCTCTCCTGGGTTATTCAAATGGAGTTGGGAGGATAAGCAAGTCAAAAGCAAGACAGAGGAAGGATTCAGAACAGAGTGCTGTGGCCTGGCTCTGGGCACCCAGATGAGGAGTTCTGAAATGGCCCGTGGAGGTGGTACCTGAGTGCAGGAAACTAGAGGCCTTGCCTAGAATTTGAACACTGCTGAGTGACACTGAGAATGTGATAAGGAGGGATGCCTCCGAGGCAGGCGTCCACTGAGCAGGCCTGGGGAGTCCAGCATTCTGGTGTTCTCGGGGCTTAATGTATACAATGAATGGAAGAAGAGGAGGTGAGCCCCAAGGATGGGTGTGATAAGGAATGCTGTACCTACATTACACCCTAACGCTGTCTTAGAAAGCTGGCCCTGGAGGTGAAACTCTCAGCTTGGTCCACTTCCCATTAGAGGCCAGTTTCCTGTCTGAAAGAGGCCAGGATGAGAACTTCCTGTACGTGGCTTTCCAAGACCGAGCTTGGAGACTTGTGGTTGAGCCTGAAGAAAGCCTAATCTCAAAGATGACTAACACAATCTAGGAAGCAGACTTTCCCTCACCAGCTCAAAAACACGCTTCCAAGCATGCAGGGATCTCAGCCTGGGGTTCAGCTGCAGCCAAAGATCAGGAGCAAAGGTGCCCGGATGCAAATGGCTTTTCCTCCCCTCCTTTCCTCAGATTCAAATGAACCATGCCCAGCGTCCCATGGTGAGACCCCTAAAGTTTCAGCCCTGGAACCATCACCTCAAAGGCCAGCTTCCTACACTTGACCTTAAGAAAGAGAACATTACTGCCATTCAACAAATGTCAATAAGCAAAGCAAGGTGTCAGGTAGGGTAGGTGGGATAAAGAGGCCAGTGATTAACTATAAATCAGGGCAGAGGGGGGTTTAAAAATCCACCACTGGAGGTTAGAGAAGCAGACAGGGGGGGGGGGGGAGGGGAATGCCTCTGGCTTGGAAAACTATCATGAGGAGATGGAACTTGAGCTGAGCCTGCCTGGCCTCATCCTTATCCGCCTTCAGGCTGACACTCTAGACCTCAACAGCAAAATTAACTGTGTGTTCCTCTTGGTTCCCAGCTCTCCAGCAAGATCAGGTCTCCAGCTCTTCTGCCCCAGCAGCTTGCACCTAACATCTGCACTCAGACCACTAGCATCCCTCCCACCGCTTGTGCAGCCATAGACAAAGGTACGCTCTTCTATCCTCCTTCCTCTCGGGGCCCCATCTCAGAGGTGAAACTTGGTCGATCTTTTCCCTTGTTCTGGGGCATCCGTGTTGACAAGGCTTCAGGGTCCAAAGAGAGGGAAGAGAGAAGCAAATTGTTATTTCAGAACCATCATGGGTTTCTTTACGAAGCTCAAGTCAAGACAGGGAGGTTTGGAAACAGTGGAGACACGGCTCTATTTCCCTTCTTGAAACTCCCCTGGTGACGGGGAGGAGAGAGTTGGGTTGTCCTGATCCACAGGCAGACACTGAGGAAGGCGAGTGGCAGACAGGAGAGACGCAGTTACCTGACTACAGGGCAGGATGGGGAATCCGAGGCTTTCTTGTAAGGGGATTCACAGGCTTCTAGAGGGAGTGAGATGATGAAGAAGTAGGCATCAAGCTTTGGCCAGTGGAGGTGTGTGGTCAAGTATAGTTAGGTACAGTAAAACAGATTCTTCCTACTTCCTCCAAAGTAAAACAGGTTTAAAACCTTGATGTCACCCTCAAATATTGTACCTCCTCTCCCCATGACTAAGATGAGCTATGTCCCTCATTTCTGACATTAGCAGTAGTGTGTCCCCAATTACCTAGTCTGTGGGCTTTTGAGGCCAGAGCTATATATTTTTTAATGTAGAACTTTTCACATAGCAGATACTTAATGCATGCCTCTAAAGTAAATCTAGGAACCCCACAGGCACAACAGTTTCCTATAATGAAATCCCAGTACAGAAAATACACATTTACATCTAGTTGAGAGAGCTCTATGTAAACTTCCATTTTTGAAGATGTCAGTATATTAAAATCTGAAGGAGTAACTAAAAGAGTAATTCAAAAACTAGTTTTAAATACTTCTATCTAACCAATGCTCTCAGCACAAAACAGTCTAGCTTAATAGAATTGTGCTACTCACACAGTAATTACAGCATTTCATCCTAGTGGCACCACTTACGTGGCAAAAAAAAAAAAAAAATAGGATGATTTAAACTTAAAGTATGACGACTGTCTTCTTTCAGTTTGGTCAGTGTATTTCAGTGGCTGTAGGAATTGCTTCCTTCAGAGATGAGGACAGGAGTCTGAATGTAAGGCTCTTAATGAACGTGAGACCTGATACTCCAGCCTCACACCATTCAGGCCCCTCCTCAGTGTATACTTTTGGCTCGTTGCCAGTCCTCTCAGCAGAACACAGAGAAGTGGCCTGACATTGATGAATGTGTTGTCAGTCATTCACGGAAAAGTCTGCTATGTGCCAGACACCACGCTAGGGATTACATAGTTAGGGAGAAATAAGGTAGGTGGGTGGTCTTAGAGCTCACAGAACTCATAGTCTAGAGGGGATGCAGGCAATAAACAATCATTCAATTTAAAATGGAGCTCAATCCTGTGAAGAAGTGAAGGCAAGGCAATGTGTGAGAGAATGAAGAGTGGGAGGGAGTGCAGGAAAGAACACATGCTTCAGACAGAGTGATCAGGGAGACCTTTCGGAGGAGGTGACATTTTAGGTGGGAATGAAGGCAGTAAAGGAGCCAGGCATGGCAAAGGAAAAGGAAACGCATTTCAGGCTGAGGAAACAGCCAGTGTGAAGGCCTGAAGGCAGGAAAGGGCTGAAGACACGGAGGGCACTAAGAGAGAAGCTGGAGTGTGATGCTCTTTTTCACGCAAACCTCCTACGGAGGCCATGTCGACGGTGCCCTCTGGGTTGTGCCACGTGGTAGCTGGATGAGAGGGGAGGCTGACAGCGGACAGAAGCATCGCACAGAGCCTTCACAGGCTTGATAAGGAGTTCGTGGTGTGGCAACTGAAATTTTTATAAAACTCCAGAAAGTGGTGCACTAGGATGAAATATAATTACCTGTGAGTGGCACAATTCTATTCAGCTAGACTATTTTGTAATGGGAGCATCAGTTAGATAGGAATATTTAAAAGAACTATTTTTTTTTTTTTTGAAGTACTTGTTTAGTGCTTGCTTCAGTTTTTCATAAACTGACAGCTTCAAAAACGGACCTCAGACCTCTCCATGAGAACCTGGAACTAGATGTAAATGTATATTTTGCTCTGCTGGGATTTAATCATCAGAAATGATTATGTCCATGATATCCTTACGTTTATTCTAGAAACATGCATCATAGATGACATAGAAAACTTGAGAAGGCTTAGAAAACACACTGGACTTGCATCATGGGACATAAGTCAGAGATGGGAGTAGACAGCCTGCCGAGGTTCCTTCTGTTTGGAGGATCCAGGGTTTTCATATATTTTTAATATAGACCTTTAAAATGTCTTGGGAATTTGGGGGGGAGAGAAGGGAGGAACTTCACCCATATTCCCCCACATTCCCAGGACATTAGAGAGATTTCATTATATAAGATAGATTTCGCCAAAATTAAAAAGAGTTAAGAATAATTTGGGGCCGAAACTGGCTTGGCTCAGTGGATAGAGCATCGGCCTGCGGACTGAAGGGTCCTGGGTTCGATTCCGGTCAAGGGCATGTACCTTCGTTGCGGGCACATCCCCAGTGAGGGGTGTGCAGGAGGCATCTGGTCAATGTTTCTCTCTCATCGATGTTTCTAGCTCTCTATTCCTCTCCCTTCCTCTCTGTAAAAAAAATCATTAAAATATACTTAACACACACACACACATACACACACACAAGAATAATTTTGGAGGTTTCTAATAGTAATGGGGCTAATTAGAAAGAGAATGCTAAGGTGTTTGATCTTGGAAGAACAAGAGAAAGTCATCTTGACCAGAAATATTCTTGGAAGATGAAACAAAGCTTATCATCAGAACATTCCAAAAGGCATTGGTGGAAGCCACATATATCCAAGCTGAAGAGGCTGGAGGGTGAGGGTCGTGGTGGTGGTGGTGGTGAGTGTGTGCCAGCAGGAGAGGTGAGTTTCTGATGGAAATGATGTGGCAGAAGCCATGACAAAGGCAATGCCCTTAACCTCCAGTGTAGGCCAAGGAGATGTCCTGGGAATTTTGGGACAAGTAATAACAGCCGCAGGAAGGAAGCAGCAAGAAAAGAAATGCAGCAGTGAGAAGGTAAAGAACATAGGAGAAAGAAGGGAGAAGAAATAGTAACTAGCAGAGCAGACTACTTAGAGTCATCTCAGCAAAGAGTACCTTCCCCCTCCCAAACTGGGTTTCAAAAATGTGACTTAAAAACAAGATACTAAAAATGTTTTGGAGCATGAAGGACATTTCACTATTTCCCCCCATTTTGTCACTGTGTGTGTTAGAAGATAACACAATTCCTAGAGAATTACAAAACCATACACCATTCTTACGGTAATACCATTAGCAAAGATGTGTATTTCCAGACAAAACCCACAAAAGGAGTTCAGTAGTAATTTAGAAAGTATTTTAAATGCATAATGATGCACATTATCAGTACTAGGTCATATGCAGATGGAAAGAGTTTAGTTTTCTGGTAGTAGTTCAGACAGAACTAAGCTTGTTTTGGATATCAGAAAAAATAATTTAATTGCATGACTCCAATACGAAAATCAATCTAAATGTAAAATATATTTTACAGGAATAATTCCTTCTCTCTTCTCTTTTTACTTATTTTTTTCCTTCTAGCTAATGTGAAGATATCTATAGTTTAAATCAGTCACAAATATATTTATAGTTTTTACTTTTAAATACAATCTCTTTTTTATATGCAGAGCTTACACACTTTTCTAGAATAAATACTGTGGTAATCAGAGTGATGTGGTTGTTATCAATTCATCAGAATGATGGCAGAGTCCGCAGATCTACACTCTAATAAAAACCCAGCACATCACCCTGTGTCCAGGGGACCCAGACTAGAACAATTAATATGCAAATTGGAGACAGTTTCAATGGAAACCCCCTCTGACTGACCCGTTATTAGAATACTGAGAATCTGTTACGAATCTGCACCACTGCATGACCCCATAGCACCAGCGAAGAGCTACAGTTATATTTAAGTGTTAAATCTGAAGAGAAATCCTAGTGATGGAATCCGAGGATTTCTTCTAAACCGAAAGGCAAACAACCACCCCTTTCCTCGCAGAGAAACGGCTTAGGTTTAGCTCTTTGACTCAGAATTGGAAATGATGCTAAAGTGGGTTTCTGAAAAAATTAAATTACAAACTGTCATATTCCGTCCTACTTAATGCGAGTGAGCCGAGCTTCCAGGATATACTCGATTAACATTTAAAAGGGTAAAATCTTATTGCTGTTTCTAGAGAACAAATAAAAAAAGATTTTTTTAAAAATCCCCTCCCAATTGTGGCCCTACTTTCTAAATAGCAGCACACACTTTTCCTCTGGCTATTGCTCAAGCAAATATTCTCTCTCTCTCTCTCTCTCTCTCTCTCTCTCTCTCTCTCTCTCTCTCTCTCTCTCTCTCTCTTTTTTTAAAGCTGCTTCCCAAGTCTCTTTTCCTAGAGTCTCTTATGGAAAGTGAATTTTTATATCCAAAGATTCAGAATTGGCTGTTTGACCTCAAGGCCACCTTTATGCAACATCTGAGTCTTGGGAGAGGCCCGCCTCCAGGACGATGGGGCTATTAATAGCGGCCCTGAGAGCAGAGGGGCAGCTCATGGTTTGGAGTTTTTACAGGTATCGGCCTGGTAAAGCACATGATGTCCACGCTATTGTGTCATTCTTAAAACCACCTCTACACCTGCTGTCATGCTTCCTCTCTTACAGAAGAGGAAAGGGAAACACGGAGATTCATGTGTCCAATACCACATGTCTAAGTAAAGCCGGTTCACTGGCCCCAGACCCTTGCTTTTGTGACTGCATTATATCATTCCTCCACTGCCAAAGGGCACAGTGTATCCAGCCATACAGAGAGGGGCCCGAGGCCTGGGCATTCTTGCAGAGGCTGGAAATGGTTCAAGATCCCTGGCCAGTCCGGAGTGCAGAGAGCCAGTGTGTGCCAGCTAGGCTGGGTCCGAGGCAAAGGAAGAAACGCCACGGCACTGGGAGTGGTAAACACTCAGGCTCTGTTGGTGACTGAACCCGGTTCAAACCCTGACCTAGGGCTTACCAATAACTAACTTCGTTACTTCATCTGCTTGAATTAAGTTTCTTCTGTGAAATGAAAATAGTAATAGGATCCATTTCACACAAAGTTGTGAGCCATAATGAGAGTGCAGGTGAAGGTCTTAGATGGTACCTGACAGAGTAAGTCTTCATCACGCTAACTAAATGCTATTGTGGACCAAGCAGAGACTGCGCAGAGCTCAGGAACCTCAGTGCAATACACTGAGCAGCACCAAATTCCCTTATTCACGTCTATGACAGTGAATGAACATGTGAAAGGTCACAGGCTGTGTGGTGACTCAATGTCACTGCTGCCAAGAGAGGGGAAGGGGTGGAGGGTCCCTGCTTTGCATTCAGAAAGGAAGGAGAGATGCCGAAACCTGTTTGGCTCAGTGGATAGAGCACTGGTCTGTAGACTGAAGGATCCCAGGTTCGATTCCGATCAAGGGCATGTACATTGGTTGTGGGCACATCCCTGGTGGGGGGTGTGCAGGAGGCAGCTGGTCAACATTCCTCTCTCATCGATGTTTCTAGCTCTCCATCCCTTTCCCTTCCTCTCTGTAAAAAAGAAAAAGAAAAAAAAAAGGAAAAAAAGAAAGGAGACGTTACTGACCGAGTTGACGAGGTTGGCTCTGTGACTTGGCGCTTCACGCGGACGCCGTGGGCACAGTTCTCCTGGGTCCCCGTCTGGGTGGAGATGGGGATATCCGGGGAGGTGTGGCTGATCTTCATGGAGGAGTCAGGGCAGGGGCTGGGAGAGTCTAGAAAGCCCTCACTGTTCTCCTGCTCATTGATCTCTGTGTCCGTGTAGTTAAGAGGCTCCTGATTGTCTTTGCTACCAGAGAACAGGCCTCGTTCTCGCCACGGAACCCAGCAGAGTTTCCAAGACACGAAGAGAGACACGCCAAAGAGAGCGAGGCCACAGGCGGTGACCAGCAGGGTCAGCAGGCTCACTGAGATATCTGCAAAGAAGCAGAGATTAAAGGTCAGCAGGACTGTCACCCCCACTCTGCCATTGCACAGGGCAGGTAGAACGGCCCTGCCATCCATCCTTCCATCCCTCAGCAGCCAGCAGAGGAAGTAACATGCAGGCCGTGCTTAGAAAAAGAAGCAGGCTGCAGTAGCAAGAGACAGGGAATATCCAGGGGGCCTAGAAAGGTCCTGCAAGTCAACCATAACGGCATTACTGGCATTACTATTTACACTTTCCCATGGCAACACAAATCACTGATATTGGATGAGCTCGGCGGTTTCATTGTTCTTAAAAATTACTCTGTCATCTCAGAGGGGAAGGAGAGGGTGGACTGGATAAAAGACAGTGAAGAGAATAGCCAAAGAGCATTTATGCACAGCCCATGGACACACAAAACAGAGTGGTGAAGGCCAGGGGAGGGGTGGCGGGGCTGGGTAGAGGTGGGCAAATGGGGGAAGGGAGAAAAAAATGTAAGACATCATTAATAGTGTCAACAATAAAAAAAAACAAATACAATTTCTCTATCATCTCAGAGAGCTGTATACCACTTGTGACTTATTTAGGTAGGACTTTTTAAAACAAAAAGAAACAAAAAAACTAGAGTACTCTTTCCCTATTTTTGATATCAATTTGTAAGGGGCTCAGCAAAATGAAGCTCAAACCCTCAGGAATACCCACATCCCAGCAGTCAGGGTGCCCAGGACCGGGAACGGTGCTCCCCATTTGGATTTCCCGGGTAGCAAACCTGAGACATGTATTCAAGGACAAACGGTGTGCTGAGATGAAGGTAACACAGGGTGGGGAGAAGGGCAGTGATCCAGGGAAGGAAGCCTGAAGTACAGGGGGCTTTATCAAGCCAGCTGCCACGATGGGGGACTGGAGGGTCAGCCTGCTGAGGGGGCTTCACATGCCAAAAGTCTCCCCATAGCAGGGGCCAGGGACTTGGGCCATTTATAACATTGGCTCCCTTCAGTCACTGACTTGAAGGAAGTTCTCAGGGGGCATTTCTAACCTGCAGCACGGGTGGCAAAAATATGCAGTGGCCAGAAAAATCCACATTCAAATAAACACAAAGGCTGGCCTCTGGAGGTCAGGGGGCATGTGTTCAGGGGGTGAGGGGGAGGGGCAAAAGGAGGGGAAGGGGATATGGTAGGGGAACAGCAGCCTCTGCCACATAAGCTGCGGCACCGTGGCCTCAGCTAGGGCCCATGACAGTATAGGATCTAGTGGCTGAGCTTTTAACTCTCAGAACAAAGCCCAACCCCTCCATGCTTCCACCCCACCTTCTAGTGGAGCCAAGGAGGCTGAGGTGTCAGCCTGAGTCAGTCCTGGCACTGTGGTGGCTATAACCCCTTCCTTTAAAGGACACCCCTACTGCCCTTACTGGGCTACCAGGACTCTCCTGATTTACGGCTACTGCCCATCAGTAATATTCATACTATGTTAGTCAAGGTTTTCTCAATCACCATACATGCCAGGTGCTATGCAAGGCTTTCGAGATACAGTAGTAAAGAAGAAAATTAGGAATTGATTATTTAATAATCACAATATTTTTTAACTGATTTCAGGGGAGGGGGGAGAAATAGAAACATCAGTGATGATTTTCATTGATTGGCTGCCTCCTGCATGTCCCCCGCTGGGAATGGAGTCCGAAATCCAGGTGTGTATCCTGATTGGGTGCTGTGACCTCATGGTTCATAGATTGATGCTCAATCATTGAGCCATAGTGGCCAGGCAATATTCACGATTTTAACTAGCCACAGCACATGAGCAATCCATGATGCATGCAATCTGCTTAGGCATGAAAATGAACCCTTCCTGCAAACCACTTACCTCCTGAGTCAAACTGACCTCCTGGCACCCTTGTGCTTTTCAATAGGACTCTGAAGGCACCCGATCATTGTTATAAAATGATGAAACCATTTCTTCATGAAAAATTCCTCTTGACAGAGTGCCAGCTGCCAGCGCTGGTGATGGATCTACTGTATCTCCTCTATGACTCCTAATCAATCTTTGCCCTAATAGTGAAACAATATCACATCTCTGTTTGAAAACTCTGGGGTTCCAACTTCAACATGGGTAATGAGCTCAAATCTTTGCTGATTTTCTGTTTTTTAGTCCCATGGAAATGAGATAAGCAAATTATGTAATTAATGGTAATTGGGTACTATCAATCCATCCGTGAACCAGTAACACTGAGGAATTTCTGTAATAGTTTTTAAAGGAAAAGCCAATTAGTGCTGCATGCTGAACACAGGCAAAAGAAAACAAAGGAAAAATAAATGAGAAAAATAAAAATTATAAAACAGAGGCAATCCCAACCGGTATGGCCCAGTGGTTGAGTGAGCATCAACCTATGAACTAGGAGGTCATAGTTCAATTCCTATTTGGGACAGATGGCCAGGATTGTGGGCTCCAACCATAGGATGTACAGAAGGCAGCCAATCAATGATTCTCATCCTTGATGTTTCTCTCTCTCTCTCTCTCTCTCTCTCTCTCTCTCTCCTTTCTCTCTAAAAAAACACAAGTAAACAAACAGACAAACAAAAAAACCTCAGATGCGGAGCAACAAGGACAGGGATGAGGAGTAGGTAGTCAGTGAGGCAATGTAAAGGCACTAGATATCACCCACCATAGAGCCCAGACAGGTGTAGGGGAGCATGGTTAGGCCACAGACTCCCCCTGGGCCTGCCAGCTCACACAGAAGTGAAAATGTGTTGGTGTAACTTCTATGGCAGGTGGTAGTGGTGGAAGCACAGGGAGGGAGGCCCCATCCCAGCTAATCAAGCTGTCACAGCAATCAACCTCCACTCCTTCTAATCAAATCTGAACACAAAACAGGTTTCACACCACAGTGAAATCCCATAATACATTTTGTAATCCAAGTGGAAGTAAAAACCCTTCCTTAATAATCCGGCACTGTCCTGATGCAGCCCCCGACGGGAGACCACCAGGATGGCTCGAGGAGGGGTGCTCAGGAAGGCAGTAGGGTCAGCTGTACGCCCATCCACCCAATAGGCACTCTTCCCCACCACAGCACCCCTCCCTCCGAGGGAGGAGGATGAACCCCAACGCCCCAATGTTGGTCTTGGCCCCCTGACTTGCTCTAATCAATGAAATATAAGTAGCTATGACCCATGACTCCTCAGACCTCATGTAAAGCAGGTTTTCCAATCTGGGTGCCATCAAGAGATGACTGGGGCAGAGGCCAAACACATTACCTACTTCAGACCCCACAACTTCAGGAAAGGGAGAGGGAGAATCCACTTAAAATCCCAACATAGCTCTATTTTAGAACAGAAGTTATTTCTTCAGTGAGGTGGTAGGTACACAGCTATTCATTTTATTGTTTGATCTTTAAACTACATGTATTCACTATGTATACTCTTTGGCCTTCATGGTATATTTCATAATAAAAATTGTAAAAAGGAGTGACATTCAAAATTATTATTCTAAAGGTAATTTTTCTAAAGAACAGAAAAAAAAAATTTTTTTTTCTAATTGGTCCTTTTGTCCAAAGCTCAAGAGAATAATCAGATAGAGATTCAGGGGTAAAAGGAGACAAGTGGTAACCCAAGTCTGATCCAGATTGAGGAGATGCTGCTGCTTGTGGGTGACTGTGATGCCACAGAGTGCATCCACCGAGGGAGATGTGGCATGGATGCCCCGCAACCACCATGAACATCAGAACCCTCTTCCACCAGCCACAGGACGTAACGTATTGTTAACCTCCGCCACAGGACATCATGTATGGCAGTACCATCCCTAAATGCCAGATACAACATATAGTGACACCTCTCACCTCTAACCCAGCAGACATCCCAGCTGGATACCTACAATTCTAAGGGATTCCTGCACAGTAAGAACTTCCTTTGAAATGACAAATGTTATTGTCCAGTGAGTGAACAGCTTGAGCACCCATACACTGCAAATGGGCAAGGAAAGGGCAGTTGCGAAGGGCCAGAGAAGACACATAAACTGACAACTGAAGAAAAGTCAGGGGATATATGGGACAAATCAACAACTTAAAAGAGACTAACCAAGCTGAGCCATCAGAATAAGTGGCTGTTGACATAGAGCAAATTAATGCAAGAGGGAACTTAATCCATCTACTCATATGATATTTTAAACAGGGCTACGAGTGAGAAATAGGGCTGCAGCAGTAACCACAGGCAGATACCCTGAGACCCCACCTGATCCAGAGCAAGAAGATTGTAGCCCTAGAATTCCATGGCCACAATCACAGGAAGAAAGGAAAGGCATTTTCAGCCATCAATGACTCAGAAGACACACTATTCATGCACTCTTTCCTGCATAAAACCTAAGGAAATTCTCCAAACAAATAAAAATGTATGTCAGAATAGAGAGCTCAAGAAGGAAAGAGCATACTACATACTATAGAGATATATTTACATACTATGATCACAAGAATTAATTATAAGCAAAGCAAACAGTAAAAATTACATGAAACGTAAAAAATTCTAGTGATGAGATTATGAAGTTTAATGTAACTGTTAGGAAAAGAAAAAGACTTAAAAAAGCAAAGGAATGACTATCATACCCTCACTTCCATTCCAACAATTTCAACATACATGGGAGAAGAAAGAAGAAGGATGTAAAAGCAAATGAAATGAACTATATTGTGAGCAGGAGGAGATTACAGATACTTCAACTTGATGCTATTAAGTAAATATAGGTGCAAATATGTATATCAAATGTTTAAGGGACATGCGATCATAATGGAACATCTGCATATATATTTATATACTGTCCTGAGACCCATTCCACTCATTAAGTGATTCAAAATAAAATGTATAAATCTGCAATCACAAAGAGAATAACATGGGTTCTCAAACCCAGTGGTTATGTTGTGTACATATATATGGAAACATTCAAATGATAACATGTCTAGTTTTTGCTTCAAAATGTAGGTGAAGCAAGGTTGACAATGGGTTAATAATTTTTGAAATTAAGTAATGAGTATGTAGA